TTGCCTTTCTTAATAGTCCTATCTTGTTTTGTTGGACTAAAAGAAGATGCAAGAACCCTTTTCCATAATTACAAGAATATGAAAATTGTATGCTCAAAAGAATAAATTATAATTTGGCTTTTGCTTTTGCTTTTGCATCATTCATTGTTGATGGTCATGCTCTTTTAGGACCAATTACATTCAAAACATCCATTCACTCTTGCATGATGTCACATGTTTGATAATATTCATCAAGAAAATGTAACATGGTTAAATTCTTTTTCTTTTCTTTTATTATTTTTAGATCCTCAGGTCCAACGTCTAAGATCAACAATTTGTTAAAAATTAAATAAATATTGCCGTATGGTGAACATTTTTTTTTTTGATACATATTATTAAGGTTTAAACTTTTAAGCATATTTTATTCTAGTGATAGGTACCTTAACCAGTTAAACTATTCAGATTGACAAAACCAAAATGAATTTTAAATAAGTCACATTTGAAAAAGTTGTATGATATTCCAAAAGCTTCTTTAAAAAAAATGCTAACTTTTCTCAATAATAAAAAATTCCATTTCCAAAAGAACTGATTTGTTTTCATTATATAGAAAAAGCAATTTTTTAGAGGGAAAGAAAAAGAGATAAATATTAGAAATAAACTAGAATACCAAACTGGTTGAATTCCACCAATAGAAAGAGGGTTGTTGATGATTTAAATTAGGATTGGTCAAATCTTTTACTATCATATTAATGTGACTTCAAAGAAGCATTGAAAATCCACAAAACAAAAGCTTGCTAAAAGTGGGATTGATATTCATCATTTGTAAGGACCACAATAAAACATTTCTTTTTTCTTTTTTCTGTGCAAAGGCACATTCACTTTTTGCACATTTATGGCAATGGCAATAACTCAATATTCCATTTTATATGGCAATGCCAACTCCTTAATATTCTATTTTACGCATCTTTTCTTGTGCAAGATTGAGACATAGATCTCCAATTTTAGGGATCTTTTTAATTAACACTATAAATTTTTTAAAATATTTCTAAGAACATGGTACTTACTAAGAATTTTGAGATATGCACTAGTTTTTACTTGTGTGGTGGGTTAGTTTTAGTAAAGTTATTTGTTGAAAAGATTAACAAAAGAGTTGTTAGTTTTAGGGTAATTACAAAATCATTTGTTCAGTAGATGATTTCAAAAAAACAATATATATTATATACTGTATACAAAAATAATGATTTCTACCTTTTACTTTTCTCTGCTTTCTTTTGATTTCTACCTTTCAGTTTAGTGCTCATTTCCTACTTTACTTTGTTCAAATAACAACTCTTCAGGGTTCTGAATACAACTCCCAATTCCAAAAAGAGAAAATAAGAAGGAAAAAAAGAAAAAGAAAAAACAGAGACTTATTTCTGAACCTCAATCACACCAGCTAGCTCTGTCTATCAAGTTTGGGAGGTGGATCAGATTCTAAATCCATTTGGAGATCAGACAATTTATGTTGGTTTGCAATTAGGGTTATTCAAAAATTGGGACTTTTGAACTGCCAATTTTGGAGCTTTAGTCACATTTTAAAAAGTTGAACTGCTAAAATTAAGATTTTCATTCCCCAGAAGTATTGGGGCCTTAGTGATAATTATCAGATAGCAGCAAATGAGAGTTTGTCTAGTCACATGGTCAGTCAGCTCAGAACCATTATGATGTCTTTTAAAAGTTATAAATAATTTATGGAGAGAAATATTAAAATACATTCAAGTATACAATATACATGTTTGACTAAATATCAATCACTTATTTGATAATGATTTTTTAAAGAATTATAAAAATATCCCAAAAAAGGGGCCAAGTCTGGCCCTCCAAATAAAGGTCAAGCCTAGTCCATGCAAGGTTGCTAGCACAAATAATCTGCTTGTTAGACTACAGAAATTGCAGTAGCTTATGTTAACTTCCCATTTTCTACGATATGAAATTAGTACTCGACTAATGCAACTAATTAAAGTTAAATAATATTATTACTGACAAAATGAGATCATTTACATCAATATACTAAGTCGACCATTTGTTAAGTATCAATGCTAACATAACATTTTCGGACATCATGATACATTAGAATAGGTCATGAAAACAGTGTAACGTGAAGATGTAAATAAGAAAAAATGGATGCAAGTGTTATAGAAGAATACCCAATTTCTCTGGACTCTTTTCTCTGGCCTCCTTGATTTCGAGTTCAAGGTTTCCTAGGATGGTATATATATCTTCTGCTCTGGGATGAGTTCGATCTGCAACACGAAACTCGGTTACATGGCCATTTATTTCCAGCCAACTACAACCGGGGGTTTTCTTGAGCCCTTTATCTCTGAGGAAACTTCTCATTTTTGCCACTCCATCCCATTTTCCTGCTGCAGCATATATGTTTGAGAGCAATATGTAATTCCCTGCATTTTTCGGCTCCATATCGATGAGCTTCTCGGCAGCAAACTCTGCAAGCTTTGACCCAGGATGCAACTTACAGGCACTCAACAATGGACCCCAAACTCGAGCATCGGGTTTGATGGGCATGTTTCTCACAAGTGCTCCAGCATCATTGATAAGCCCGGCTCTCCCCAAGAGATTAACCATACAAGCATAATGCTCTTGACTTGGTTGGCAACCATAATTTTCAATCATCTCCTTGAAACACTCCTTTCCTTTTTCCACGAGACCGGAATTGACACAAGCTGTTAATAGTCCCAGAAAGGTTACCTGATCGGGCCTTGAATTTGAGCACTTCATTTGATTGTATATCTTGAAACATTGAGACCAGTCTCCATGGTTGGCGTGGGCACTGATCATGGAGTTCCACATTATCAAATCTTTATCATCAACTCTCTCTTCCTCAAATAGCCTCTGGGCCATCTCAATACACCCACATTTTGCATAGGTGATTAGGAGGGCTGTGTTAAGTGATGGAAGAGAAGTCAGGCCTAGCTTCATTGAGTAACCATGTAAATATTTGACATTCTCTAGTGCCCCTATGTGAACAAAAGCAGGCAAGATATTGATCACTGTAATAAAATCAGCTTGAATCCCATCTGACTTCATCCTGGAGAAGAGGGACAAAGCATTAAGAGATTGACCATGTTTCACACACCCCTTAATCATTGCACTCCATGAAATTACAGTCTTGTTAGTCATCCAGCTGAAGATCTTACAGGCTGAATCTAAAATGTTCAACTCGCAGTACATATCAATGAGAGAGTTATGAACTGAAACTTGATTGTCTGAGCCATTCCTCAATGTATGGGCATGAGTTTGTTTGCCCCAATCAACACATTTCAACTGTGAGATTGAAGAGATGACAGGAAGTGCAGTAAATAGATCAGCTCTAATCCCTGATCGTGCCATGGACTTGAAAAGCTCGAGACATTCTGCCGGGTTCCCTTCTCGGTCATAAGCTGCTATCATTATATTCCATACAACACGGTCCTTCTCTGGCATTTTGTCAAACAATTTTCTAGCATTGACTAAGCAACCCAACTTTGAGTAAAGAGACAACACAGCAGTATTTACTAACAAGTCTCCGCACAAGTTGCTCGTGATTGCAACACAATGCACAATCTTTGCAAGCTGAATTGAATTCAAACCCACTATGGACCTCAAGAGATTGATAAATGTGAGTGAGTCCGATACCAGTTGTTCTGTTCTCATTCTCCCAAAGAGCTGGAAAATTTCGTCCCCGTTCCCATTTTGAGAAGCCTCTGAATTCAACGAATTCCAGCATTCAAAATCCTTCATAGGCATTTTGTCGAACAGATCATGACCATTCTCAAAACCTATGCACTTCCGATACATCTCAGCCAGAGCAGTGGCTGTCGAATCATATAAATCAACACCAAGTTTAACCAAATGCCCGTGAATCTTCCTCCCATATTCAACATTTGATAAACAGCAACACGATCGCAATACAGAAGGGTAAGTTTCTTCATCCGGGTGCATAGATTTTGCGAACATTTCCCGGTACACCAACAGGGTCCGCTCATATTCTCCAAAGCTCGACAAATTTCTCAGTATCGCACTGTAAAGAGTTGAAGTGGGGTCGATTATAGAGTTGAAAACTTGTTGAGAGAGAGTAAGAAGTCCAAGATTCGCATAGGAGTCGATAAGTTCGCAAGAGAGAGCTGGGTTTTGGTGCAAGCCATGGAGGATGAACCTAGCGTGAATCTGCTCGAGTTGTTGACGTGAGCTGCATCGGCTGAAGAGGAACGAAAGCGTGTTGAGCGGTCTCGATTGGGTGGCGGGAAAATTCGAGAATTCGAAACGGAAAATGGGTTTCGATCGTTGAAGATGAAGCATGTCGGGCGAAAGCTGCGGCACATTTTTGGTAGAGCTACGAGACTCGGAATTTGCCTTTCAAGTTCAAGAAATCGTCAACGTTCGAGAAATTCGCCCCCATTCAAAATAGAAGAAGATTTTGACTTGTGAAGTTTCTTCACCTGAGATTTTCCACGTACAAGTTTCAAAATCAGTGAACCAAACATACTTTTCAACCCTCAAATTTAGTCTTCGGATTTCATAGATATAATTATTAAGTTCCAAATTTCATTTAAATCCTTAAATTTGCCGATTTTTTTTCCTTTTTTAGTACAACTATTTTGATTCAATTTGGCCCAGTGATTACACGACATAAATGAAATCTACAATTATTTTTAAGGTTTGACTTAATTATGACTTAACGAGTTAAAATACCTACCTACGACCTAAAGATCATTGAATCTCCACTCTATCCTATCATGTTCTACTTAAAACAAAATTATAATGAAAATTAAAATTTTAAAACTAAGATTAATAGGATTAAGATAATATAATTATTAAAATTCAAAACTAAATTTGTAATATGACTAATTCTTGTAATTTTTCTATGTAAGTCTGTCTTTTTTTTAATGAAAGACCTAGACGTGACTGACTGTATAGGGTTAGAAACAATTTTCTATGTATTTAAAAAAACATTCATAAAACTACTTGTATATGAAAACTTTTTAATTTCATAAACAAATACTTGTAATGTTTAAGTTTTTTGTTAAATAATTTATTGAAGGAATGAAAATGCAACTTGAACGGTTAAACCCATAATAAACTAATGGTCAATTGAGCAATCTTTGTGGTCAAATTATTTTACTTTTATCTTCTTTATCTTTTTTCTCTAATATCTTATCTTTTTTCTCTAATATTTGTTGAGTTCAATAAAAGCTAGAAGACTTTGACATTATTTTAAAAAATATATATTTATATGATTATAACTTTACAACAAAAGTTAGTGTTGATATTCGTCGTTAGATATTTCAACTGTCCTTAAAAAAAATAATACAAACTGCGATTTAGGAAAAATAAATTGATCTAACTACTTTTTTCAAAATAAAAATAATAAAAAAAATAAATTGGTCTAACTATAATCGGAAGAAAATTCCTCGCCTTTTTTTTTGTTCCAATAAACAATAGCCAGCAGAAAACGACCGGTGCCATGTGGCATGCAGGTGGCGGCTGAAAATTATTTTATTTTTAATTTAATATGGGAAAATTATCAGTTAAAAAGGAACCATCTTATTTTGTGTGCCAATTAATAATGGTTTTGATTAATATACAAATTTTGCATTGAAAAAAAAAATTAATACAGATTAAAAACACATCTCCTATTTTTAGATAAATAAGTTTATCTTTTCATTTACTATATAATAAGATGATTTTTTAGTTTACGACGAGACGAGATGAATTTCAAAGTGTTATAATCGCATGTTATCATTCATTTAAGATATCGAATCAAAAAGATATTATTTATTTGTCAACTATTTGTTGTACGATAAATATATTTTCTTTTTGAAAGTTTATAATATCTCTTACCAATTCAACATATTGAAAACTCAAAACCTACGATAACATAATTGTTTATATTTATGTTTCATATTTGAATTATTTTCGATTTACAGAACTTTAATTCATTAACTCAATCTTCACATATAAAAATATGAATAAGAACAAATATGGAAATATAAAGTAAGAGATATAAAAAAATAACATTTATGACTAGATACTTACAGATTTGCTGTAATCATTTAGAAAAAGCTTTTTAAGCTAATAATGTTTTATTTACATTTTGCCAACAAACAATGTTTAAGAAGAAAAAAAAATACTTTTCCCATTTACTGTACAAAGTCAAAAATGAATTTTCAGGAAAAAAAAAAAGGTCAGACAGTAGGACGTAGATAATTTTTAAAAATAATTTATCTTTAAATACCAACTAAATTTAGATATTTCAACACGTTATCCACTCCCGTCCGTAACGAAACTCAATCAAGGCCGGGCCCAAATGTAAAAACCATCATCCTCTCTCCTCATCCCACTTGTCAACCATCCAACGGTCAGAGGGTGCCACGTGCAGCCAGATCACGCGAAGACACGGCAGTTTCTGCCACGTCGTATCCTTCTAGAACAGGAACCCACGCTGGGTTCGAGTCGCTGTAAATTCCATAAATTGGAGGACCAGGTCAAAGAGTGACATGGCAGAATCTGGACCAATCAAATTTCTTCCCCTGGCCAACCCAACGAAACAACCTCCCCCAAAATTCTCCAACCCCTCCCCCCGCAAATCGCGTATTTATACCGACAATCCACCCCTCGCTCTCCTCAAATCCCGAGAATTGTTTCAATCTTCTGATCGGCGAATCAAGACTCGAGACCCGACCGCTTAGAAATTTGATTGTAATTTTTTTGGAGGGACGTGTTTTTTCTGTTTGGTTCTCGGGAACATTTTGTAGGTAGGTTTAAGAACGGTGATTATGATGATGAAGGAGGGGAGGAGCGTGGGGAAATGGGGCGGAGAAGTGGCGCCGGCGGTGTACATATCGTATGAAAAGCAAAAGCCGGGTTCGAATTGCCGGAGGCTGGAGACGATTTTGGAAGAAGGATCGGAGAAAATGGAGGTTCTGGTTCTGCCCAAGAGGATTCTGTTTTTTGTTCCTGTAGTTCTTTCTTTTCTTTCTTATTTTTTGCTCTACAGACATGTCGTCGCCTGAATTCTATTGGGAATTCGTCGTCGTTTTGGGCGTCGGCTTTACAGGCCATGTCGAAAAACAAAAACAAAACAAAAAAATATATATATCTAAAAAAAAAGTTCGAAATCTTTAATTCCATATTCCCTCCCCTGCTCTCAAATTATACTAGATTTTATCTGAATTCTTTTTTTAATTTTTGCTCGTGCTTAATATCAAGAGGAAGCTCAAGACAAATAATGTTTGAAATTTGAACTTTAGATATTGGGTCGAGGAAATTTACGTAAATTATTGAGTCCAACACATAATTAAATATATCTAACTAAAATTTTACCAACGAACTTGTTGAACCCAGTCAAAATATCATTAATATTGGAGATTGAATTCTCATGTCTCTCCCATTATAATAACTAAATAAGAATACTCAAAATCAAAATATGTGTTTCTAAATTAGACCATTAAATCTAAAATTGAAATAACCAAATTGATTACTAGTAATAACTAGTTTGTTTCAATTCATGGATCATTTTTTAGTAATAACCTAACATTATAAGTTTGTTTCAATTCATGGATCATTTTTTAGCAATAACCTAACATTAGTCCCTAACGTTTGATAGGTTTTTAATTTAGTGCGAATTATTTAAACCGTTTTAATTTAGCGTCGTAAATATTAAAATTGATTGATGATAAATTTAGAAAACTCAAAATATCTACTTATTTCTCTAAAATTTGGATGAATAATGGAAAACTTTATTCTCTTAGTTTATATTTTTCCTTCTAAATTTATGTCAATTTTACTAATGTAAGTTTATCATCTGTCAACTTTAACATTTACGATTAAATTGAAATATGTTAAAACATAAGGATTAATTAATCCCTAACAACTAAATTGATTATAAAAAAAAAACTACTCAAACATTTATATTTGAGATAATAATTCACAAGCTAAAACATATGTTTAGTTTTTTTTAGTTCAACCATTACAAAAGTGTAGATTGAACTATTAATATTTGAGATAATAATTGTCAAGCTATGGTCGGTTTTTTTTAAGTTCACTAAGATGAAGATTGGAAGCTTCAAAAGAGAAAAGAGAATGACCACCTTTCCTTGGTCAAGCCGATGTATATGTTATTAGTCATCCTGAACTTCGTAAATTAGGTCGAGTCGACCAATATAGATCTCAACAGCCAACCTTCATGAAGGACAAGTTGAGGATCACAACACCACATGTCTCTTACATATGACTACTTTTCCAATAACACTCTGATTTATAGGACGGCTGTAACTGCTCCACAAGTGATGTCGGAAATCCAAAGTTTATAAATAAAGAGTTTCGTCTTACTTCTCAAATACACGAAACTAATCTCTCTCTGAGTATAAATCAAACTCGAACTGACTTGAGTATTGACCACCTGAGTTCGAGCTTGCCAAAGGAAAAATATGACAAAAGAAAAAGTTCTTTCCCTCAAAAATTCACTCTTATTTAGAAATTCACTCTTATTTTTAATTAGGTTTGTAAAATGTGAATGAGTTAACATGTTATTTTGGTCTTTTTAGTTCCAACCTTGATTCATTTTTATCCTATACATCAAAATGTTCATTTTGATGGTTATTATGTTTTTAATTTTTGTTTATCTTATTCTCTGTATTCTCAAAGTATTCATTTTACTATTTTAATTTATGTACTTTTAAAAAGTGGTCATTTTAGTCCCTATTTGTAAAATTTAACTAAAATAAACCAATTGAAAGTACAACACACTTGATGCCACTAAGGTATTAAATATCCGTGGACATATCGATATTTCATTGTATCTATGAATTCAACACTGACGTAAGGGATAAATCAACATTTCTGTAATATTGTAGAAAAATCGACGAAATACGAAAATATCACTAATTCATACAGTATATATATATCAATAATTTTTAACTCATTTAGAAAGGATGAAATACTTATTTATTAATTTAAATATTTTTTACGATTTTCTATTTTGATAATTTTTCAAAAAAATACCTATCGATTGCATTTTCATCACCTCCACGTTTGTATCGACAACATTTAAAATGTTGGATGCCATATGTACGGTTTGTTACCATTCATACACGGAACCAAACATATCGGTTCGAATAAACTGAACCGGTTCACACCAATGTTTTACAAAGAACATCACACAGGAAGCCCAATTTCGTAAGCAAGAAAGAAAGCTCTACCCGTAGCTACTGCTTCGTCATCTCCGTTGAACGGACGTCGATCGATCGGGTTACACAGACTTCTCAAGATCTGCTCCGCAACCATCGCCATGGTAACTCCGTTTTCTCTTCGTCTCACTCATCTCCTGATTGAACTCTTCTGTATATTCATGATACAGGTGCTTCGGAATTCTTGAAACCGCTGTCCTATTCCGCATTTCGATTATTCATCTTGATACCGTAATTTTGACCTAGTTAACAGAATTATCTAGCACTCTGCGTTGGTTTTGATGCTTTTTAGAAGACTAACTTTGTTTTACCTCCGTTTGGATATATATGCGTGTGCCTTTTCGATTTTGCTGTTTGATTATTGCAATTATGGGCTTGTATTTTAGTTTTGTGCGTATGAATGAAATTCAAGTGGCGCGTACTGCATTGTTCCTTTTCTCCAGTTCCACCATTTTCGGCTCAGTCTCGCTTTTCGATGGTTGGTTTTCTATTTAAGCCCGGAGAAAATTGGGCCTAGTTGTGTTTCTGATTTTAATTACGAAATAATATCTAATTTGGTTGAAAGTCTTGGTGTGAATTCAGTTCTGTTGCAGGAAATTCAATTCTCTTATTCAGATTTGGCAAAAAGAATGGCTGAATTTGCCAAGAAGAGACTCTTCAATGGATTTTTGGTCTATAGCAAACGACCGATTAATAGAATTAATCCCGTCCAATAGAAAACACCAAAAAACATCTAACAACAGATGGTATTGGTTAAACAACAATAGAATAAATTCAAGTGCTATATCACACCCTTGGTTTTTTTTGGCCAATTGGCATTCATCTGGGGCATGGTACTTTGATTAGTCTTGAGGAACTGGACTACAAAAAATATGTAAGATATTTGGTAGTTGAACAAAATAATATGTAAGATATTTGGTAGTTTTGAACTACATCACGTAGTTCGTTGCAAGTTCCATCAGGACTAGATGTACCATCCCAAGGTTCTCTTTGCTTGGTGCACCTGTGCCTGTTTGCCGCTTCTTCATATTTTGCATTAGTCTTACAAAGGTTTTCCAACACTTTCTCATGCAACCTAAATTTTTCTTTGCCAATGGTCCAAGAATTTAGGATCCCTCTCACTCAATATTTCATTTATGGACTTAATCTTCATGTTTTTAAATGTGAATCTGTATTGAGCTACGGATAAGTCCTGATTTTGGGGTTTATCTGTCTTAGGCATCTTATTAGGTTCCTTAACGTTTTTTTTAAATAAAAATAAAACCAGCTTTCATTAAATCCAGAAGCGAATCAACACTTAGGAATTTGATGATCACTGAATGCTACAAATTCTTTCGTCAAAAGGTAAGTGTTTCCACTATTTGTATAGCTTTTGGATCATATGAACTCCAACATTTCCTTGGTTAACTCAGCTTCTCACTGAGCAGATCAGTCAGTTCTCCCTCTTCAGCGGGGAAAACTTCTATACCTATTCCAAGGCATCCACTTATACTATATAATGTTTATCATACGCTTAGTGTTGAAATGATGGTGCTTCGAAAAGTTTCTGTTTCAGGGTTTCAAAACTTTGCTGCTGCATTCGACCTTACTGAAATTTGCCTCTAGAGCTCTCCTATTGCACATATGAAGGAAAGAGATTATAGAATCTTCAATGACAAGTATAGGTCTTTTTGTGATTTGTATGATCTTATTCATTTGGAGTGCTTTTTTAAAAATAAAAAATAAGAACATGACACAACTAGAGTGCTTTACACACATTTTTATAATTACTCCACTATGGTCAACTTAGATTGAGGGTATTTTGTTTAATCTCCTATTTCAATCAAATCTCCTATGTTTTTCTTTGATCAAAGTCTCTGTTTCTTGTCAACTACTGGAAAAAGATGTCAGATTGCTTGTTGGACTTCACTCATAAGTTTCCTCCAAAGAGAGGACCACTATTGGAATTGAAGACAGTTGCCAAAAATTTGCTGCAGATGGAATGTTGTTGCCAAGTGCCAACATCTTGCAGATTATACATGGAAGACTCGTGTACAGAGTACAGACCAGGATCATGGTGCTTTCAAGTTTCAAATCACTTTGGTGCAGAACCAGGAAATTCTGCTCTCTTAATCACCTTCGGCAGAAGATTTCAAATTTGTAGAAGACATATTCTTGTATAGCATTCAAGTCTGAAACTACTGCAGAGGATGGACTGTTTGTAACAGAAAATGACTGGAAGCATATAACAACCAGCTAATTAGTGAAATGGAAAACTGACTACCTCATATAATCTGCTAAACAACAATAGAAAGATTACAATGCTATATCAAGTATAGTCATTGTCTCACTGGTATTTGGACGATACTCAAAATTACTTTATTTATGGAATTTATTGATCCGGATAATGAGATGTGTATAATTAGCATTAATTGTTTCATTGAAGAGTTATACTTCGGCTTGATTATGACACTGTTAAGTTCCTATGTTTTTTCTTTTTATTTAGGTTCTATTGCAGCTAGACCCTTTTCTCAATGAACTTACCAGCATGTTTGAGCGTAGCACCGAGAAGGGCTCTGTGTGGGTTACTCTGAAACGATGTATGTGTATATCAGCATTGTTAATTAGTTTCTTGAATCTTTTGTGGTATTCTTTAACTATATTGCATCTCATATTATTGTAGCATCACTGAAGTCTAAGGTGCAGAGAAATAAAATGACCACTGCCGGGCAACCTATTGAGTACAGGTGCCTCATCCGTGCAACTGATGGGAAGAAGACAATTTCTACTTCAGTGAGTATTGGCTCATCATTTAGTTCTTTTCTGGATTAAAAACTTTGCCCGAGCATTCGAGTTTTTCTAGTAAATTCTAAATTTACTCAGCTAAAGTTTCTTACCCATCCAAGTGGAGGATGCTGCGTTTAGACATCTTTTTATTTTATTTTATTTATGCTTTACACAAAGTTCATATTACAACTCAATGCATCCTGGGAGTGGGGTGATTATTAAAGAACTTCTGCTAGATTTTAGGAAATTAAGGACGGGCACAGTTCACTTTTCATTAATAAATTATCATTTAGTGTATGCCATCTTTTTTATGTGATGGCACTTGTATATTGTAGACATGATCAGTAATGAAGAAATAGAATTAGAACTCAAATTGAAATCTAGGCATTTAAGATTGACGTTTATTATACCATCTTGCTGCTCAATACTGAAGAAGTAATGTAGATTCCACTCCCTTCATCCCCCTCTCATTTCTTATTTTTCTTTTCTAGTCTCTGGAGCTTCGAATTATCTTTTATCCCATTCATTTCATTCTTCTTGGTAAACAGAAACCAAACCGCCGCATGTAGTCATTTCACATTCTTCAGATCTTATTATCTATGCTATCGTTTAAACTGCATTTAACCTAATCTTGATTCCCTTACATATTTACTCTTGGTCTGATTTTACCACCCTTGTGGAGGTTTCTAACTTTCTTGAATCTGAAGCATTTGTAACATTTGCTCTTAAAGGTTGGGGCAAAAGATCACCTGAAATTTCAAGCTTCCTATTCAACCATTCTTAAAGCCCACATGACTGCTCTTAAAAAGAGGGAGAGGAAGGAGAAGAAGAAGGCACCAGCGGCAGAGAAGGATCCCAAGAAAAAACCCAAGAAAGTATGAAGGGGGGTTCTCTTGCTTCTGAAGGATCCTCAAACTAGAGTTGCTTCCTTGGCTTACTTACCCTTTTGTTTTTACGATGACTCTGATCCTTTGACCTGATGAGTGTTATGCTTCCCCCATCTTTCTAGGAAAATGCAGAGGAAAAAAGGGCAGAGGTAGGATTTTGGAATTTCAGGAATTGAAAAATATTTGAGTTTGTTATTTGTTTAGCCATTTTTCCTTGAAAGAAAAAAGATTTGAAATATACATGTGATTTTACTGTGGAATTTTCTGGAAATTTTGCATTCTCTCATCCTTGAAGCCATAGAAAAATTTGAAAATGTGCAATGACGATGTTGATATTGTTTGTGAATCACCTGAGAACTTGTGGAAGGAAATCTCAGCTGCTGTTCTCCCTCCAACTTTCCATATAAATCTTGTTCTAGTCTCACTCATGAAAGAATTGCGACTTGCTGTAAATTTTGCTCATCGACCGCGTGTAAGTAATTATCCATGACAGGGAGAATTATAGATGATAAACAGAAATATTTATTTAATACTTATAGAATTTCATAAGTTGTTTTTTCTGGTACAAACACGTGGTAGTGAAACCATGTAGAGGTCTTTAGGAGGCAATTGTCATTACTTATGGATCCGAACTTAGGTGATCTATCAGTGACAAGGATGAAGTTTGAGTTAAACTAAATGGAGGTTTGAATTGACAGATTTTTTTTTCTTTTTTTTGTTTTAAAGAATAGAATTGACAGATATTAAAGAATGAATGAATGAGTTAGGAATGAAATGTCACTCAAACTCAGAGTTTGAGTTAGTTGATTCTCTTCAAAATGCATTGAGATCAAGTTTGAGTTAGTTGATTCTCTTCAAAATGCATTGAGACAAAGGAGTTGATCGGACATCTATAATCAAAACATTGTTTCAATGTGGCCTTTGAGGGGTACTAAATCAATGCAAATTATGTATACTATATATGATCTTATTAAAAGTATTGTATAATAAGAAAAAGTAAATGATAATATCTCAAATATTTATTTAAATATTTTCTAACATTAAACCAAGATTTAAAAAATTATCTTGACTAGTGGTGGTGGTAGAATAAATAATCCATAAAAAACTATTAAATAAAATAAAATTAAACATATCTGTATGTAATTGCACAGTAAGTAAAAAAGTAATTTTAAAATTAATAATATGTCCTGTAGGTTCGATTCAATTCAAAACCAAATACAACTTATAAAATTTCCATTTATTTGACCCAGCCCAAACAGTATTAGATGGGATTCAGTTGAGGAATATTTTCAAGTCATCCAACTTTTTGAACACCCTAAAATCTCTAAAAGAAACCAACAAAAAGTAAGTCGATCGAACTATGTTTCATCGTCAGAATTTGAGACATCCATTTCTGCATCATCATTTACATTTGATGCAGAATGCTGATTCTCATACTGGGACTCCATATAATCCATTACAGCACGCCTGTACTTGTCAGGATGATCCCACCAAGTTGGAGTGTTGATAATAGCCTTCTCCAGCCAGTATTCATCATACTGCTTCTTCTCAGTCAGTTTCTGGTAAAACCTTCCCCATTTGTACATGGCTCGCTTCAATCGGACGCTCTTGCTTCCTCCGAATACAAACTTTATGTAATCCTTCGCTAATCGGGTCAGCTCTTCCCCGCTAATGATGTAAATGTACTGCCATAACAAATAAGCAAACATAACTACACAACCCACAAACCAGATCCAGATATGCATACAAAGCAACATGATTTTCCTCCAAAATTTACAAAGGAAAATATCATGGTCTGAAGAACAGTTCAAAATCATTTTCCTTCACAGATTTCTGAGTTATGGAATATATAGCATGTAATTTGGCTTGATCAATCCTAATGTAATGATGTGAAAAGAGAAATATGAAGATTCTCTCCCTAATCATATTCATTTTACCTGAACCACCCAGTTAGGCTTAGTTCTTTTCTCCAACAAATGCATTCTAGAGACACAACAGTTTCTTTAGCTAGTAGATATGAATTAGAATCTAATCTAGGGAGAGCTTCTTATAACCTACCAGGTACTGTCTCAGTGAGAGCTTACTGCCAGATTCTTATGAGAGGAGTTGAACGCGTTTTTAAGGGTCGAAGGGATGCGACTACTAAAAAGTAAAAAACACGAGCGGTTAGAGCTTATAGTTCTAGCTGGACTTCTTAAGGTAAAATATGAACTCTATGTTTTACTACCAAGCCAACTCAAGAGCAATTTTTGTAATTTCTATTAACTTGGGATAGTGTACTTCTCTACTTTCTGTTTGGTTAGTTAAACGCCCTGTTTCCTGTAACAATGACTATTACCAAGAAAATAAAGCCGATGGTCGCCAAAATCACTTGCAGTGTTTCATCAATAATTCCTCCAAGGCTATCATCCTCAGATCCGCTAGAGCTATCCCCGCTGCCACCGCCACCACTTGGAGGTCTTTTGCCACCATCTCCACCATCATAGAACTCTTTTTTTTCGATTTGCTGTCGCAATACATCTTCTACTGATCGCCCCTTCTTAAAATTTTCAACAACTTTGTCAAAAGTTTTCCACGGAGAACCCTGCTAGATACAAAGTATTATTACTATATCAATATTTACAGATGCCTCTTATATAGCAGCCTATCTAACTTCAAAAGTCATGATTTACAGATTTTAAACTTTAGACCAGACAAGGGACATGCACATAATAGTGAATAAAATGAATAGACGCTCCAAACCATTCCCCATCGGGTATTTCGCATCAAACAACTTGAACCCAAAAAAGAAATTACAAAAAACTAATATAAATTGTTGCCCTTCTGGAAATGTGAATGGAAATAATTTCATGCATCCTGAAAAATTCATGAATAAAGAGTGAAAAAGATTGTTGATATCATATCAAACACATTTTCTTGTCATAAAACCTGATCTTCATAAAGGGTAACCTAAATCACATGGATTGTATCTTAATCCATTTGAAAGTTTAAGATGTTCTACCTTGCTTACAAAACTAACTGTTTACAGATACCATAAAAAAGAATTTTTGATAAGACATGGATCTGTATCAATCACAAAATGGCGAAACAGCCAAAGCAGATATATCACAAAAATCAAGAGCATAAAATCAGAAAATTATGGTCAAACACGAAAAGTTCATGCATTGATGAAAAAAACTTCCATTGCTGACTTTTCCAAAATTAACACGATGATGGATGCTGAACATTTGTCAGTAACAAGACAGGAATAACAATGTTAAGCTGAATTTCTCAGATTGGTGAAAATTCAGCAATTAAAATGTACTCTAAAACCATCCACCATAGCTTCATTGAAGACAAAAAGACACACAAGATTTGCAAGAAGCATATCATACAATCTAAATTAGAGACAATTTTGGTTCTACCACTCCTTCAATCATTAAGAAACTTCTGTGAACCAAACTATAAACATCTTTTTCTTTTAGAACTTCCAAAATAACTGTTGAAAGAAAATAAAATAAATAAAAGGAAAAGAAAAGGAAAGAAATAAAGACGAAAGCTATACAAATTATTACAGGCAGATAAAGCCATCAGAGAATAAAACTTTACGAATAGTTATTTCGATAAGAAATAAATCAAAGAATAGATGACAAATGACCACAAATTTAGAGATATTCTCACCCCATCACCACTTTCCTTTCCCTTGCTACCAAATAAGGAAACAATTGGGGTATGCTGGTGATTTAATCCAGCCCTCCGATGTTTATACTTCAATACTGGTAGACCTTGCTTGAAATAAGATGCATTGGCACTTAGGTTCACAAGAGCACTACGGGAGCGAGTAGCTCGAAATGATGGATATATTGACTTAGAAGCAATGCATATTGATCTACTAGAACAAATAGAATTCTGTGTAGCAGTTATCTGCATGCTGCTCATCCTTTGATAAACACCTCTATAATCGCATGCCAAGCTCCAGCACCCTGATGTCCAAGCTTCAATATCATAGTATGAACTATGAATCATGAAAATTACTAAACATAACCGGATAAAATAAATGTATAACTGAAGGGGGAAAAAAACTACAGGAAAACCCATCTGAAAGCTCCATAACCGCATATTAACATATTTTTGCTATCTCTTCAAAATTTTAAAATTAAGAAAACAATGTTGAATGAAGTGAACTTGTATTCCTATTCCCCGTACTTGTTTAAACCACAACAAAATCCAAAAGCTTAGCCTATGAAATGGGAAATTTCTTTCCTTACTTCGTATTCACAGTTTGTTCAATCATTAATCTACGCAATTCTTGTCTAAGCCTCAATTGTCCTTCTTCAATATTTCCCAGTGTACATTTACCCGCATACAGAAATTAAGCAAAGAAAAAGAGGAACTGCTCGATATGAAATCTAGCGCTTTCCTTCCCACAGACTTAGAAAGAGGAAAGAATTCTGTGTGTTCAGAGTTTCCCCTCTTAAGCTATCACAGGTTTCGGTGTCTAAAACAATAGAAGGAGGGTTACCTAAAGCTGCCGGCGAAGACTCCCCAGTAGGCTCCTCCGATGGTTCATAGCAGGAGGGAAAGCAAAATGCGTGCTTTATGGGTCTGAGGCGAAGAAAAAAATGGAGGATATAAGATTTCAGAGAAATGTGGAGTGAACAGATTACAGACGATAGGGATTCAGAAAGAGATGGGCTTTAGGTTCTGAATGGGAAGTTGGGCTAACTACCTAAGCCCAAATGACCATTTTTCTTTCCATCAAAATATATTTCCACCGACCGTTACTCAATTAGTCAAGATATTATTTATATTTCTAAAGGTTGAAAATTTGTGTTCGTAAAAAGTTAATTAGTGAAAAAAAAATATGTAGTGATTTGATTCAATAAAGTGTTCACATACTGAATAAAAAGTTTATTTGAGAAAGTAACTTCTAAATATTTTGATTATTTCTTTATACATAGAAAGTATTTCTAAGTTAAACATAAACGATTTGATATTTGGACTAATTTAAACATTTCCCAAATGTGTCAACYAAAATAACTTTCTGAAATGTTTGAAACATTTTTTTAGAAGTCTTGGAAAAAAGTTTTTAAAGAATAGGTTCAGTCAAATTTAGATAGTAAAAGAAAACTCAAAACATACTAAAAAGTAAGTTTAAGACCTTTTTTTTTTTTGTAAATTAAAAAAATTTCCAATTAGAAAAGCTTGTCAATTTATTATAATACTGAGTTAAAACTTAAAAGTAATAGTTAACTAATATTTTATCTAAAAAAAATTTACTTTGGAGAGAAAGTACTTCTCTTACCAGAGTTACTCTCTAGACCCTTAAGTAAAAAGGAATTGACTAGCTGCCTGAGTTTATCTAACAATAGTTAGTATCTATCTTTGACTAAAAAGTCACGAGTTCCATTCCTCAACTCCCACTTGTTATACTTAAAAAAAAGTCAGTGATTAACGATGACCAACTCAAAATGTTTTCTCCCGCTCCAAAAAATTAGGGTGAAATTTCTTTCCACACTTCTTCCTCTAATCAGAATCTTTACTGAAACGTGCACGATTGGCTCTAGCTTATGTGGCTCCGGCAATAAATTATGCGGATACATCTAATACGTGGAATCGTTACTGAAGATGAGAGTGAGAGAGCGCCACTGACATCAACGACTCATGGCTGATATTACAACGAAAGTGCAATTTTTTCCTTTTTTTTTACAATGAAAGTGCACATTTTAAATTTTAGTCTTGGGCATAAATTCAATTTGGTTAATAACATACCAAAATTTTATTTACTTGTTATAGTTTAGGTATTAGCATATTAAATTTTAATTTTTAAAATTTTTAAGTACATTTTGGAAGTAAATTTAGTTCTTATCAGCTTAATTTCAAATTGGGTTATATGGTTTGAGTTTACTATTATTTTTACTTTGACATGAATCAATATTTTGTATTTTGCCAAATGTTTTAGCTTACCATATTAGAGTTTAGAAGAGCCAAATAAAAAACTATAAAAAGAAAATAGGTGGATTTTTTATTGTGTAAAACATAATTTAGGAATAATTTATTGGGAATGACAAATGTGTCGAAGCTTTTGAAAAAACGTTTTATTTCCTTTTAATTATTTAAATGTTACATAATTAATTATTTAACATTTTAAATAATTAATTCATTTTGTTTTGTAAATTTTAATTAATAAAGTTAAAACATTTTTTTTTAAACTAAATCAAGCTTTGGGAAATATTATGGGCTTTTGAAAAAAATTTATGAACGGGTTTTTCGATTCCATCGCCGAATGTATGCCTGAGTTCGACTTGAGCAACCGGCATACAGTGACAGATCCAGAAATTTTGTTGAGGGGGCTTCAATTAATTTACATGTAAGTAATTTTTATAATTCATAAAAGTATGATCTTGAGGCTGACAAGGTCATTTTTGTAAATATCTTTTACAAATTTGATCTCAAATATTACAATCGTAATCCACGTTGCAGATAAAAAATTTTAGTTTGGTTGTCTTTTTAACTAACTATTATATTAAAAATAGTCTCAAATTCATAGTACTAAAGTTAAAAAAAAATGCACCTTAGACAATTAATCTCAAAATTGTCGACTTATTCAAAATAAAAATTATATAAAAAAAAACTCGAAAATTTGATAAAAATGTAAAAAATTTGACATATTTATATAAAATTTTTTTATGCAGTATATTTTATAATATAATATTTATTTTTATATTTTAATAATATATATAGACACCCGCAGGTAACTTTAAAGGCAAAATTTTTTTTAACAAGAACATTCGAACGCTGGGAACTGAGTAGAGGCTTGGTCTCATATTCCACTACGCCAATCTAGAGTTTTATATTCAGTTAACACATTAGTTTGTATATAATCCAAAAGTTTCAAAGTTGAGGCGGGGCTCGAGCCCCCCTCGGCTACTGTACCCCTGTCGGCTAATATACGATTTAGCACCATAATCGTGCCGAAATTGCTTTCAAGGGAGCGGTTCAACCATGATGGTGTGATCTAAATTCTACTTTATTTCCTACATAATTTACAAAGTTTAACATAATTATAAGCACCAAATTAGAAACCAAATCTAAAGCATAAAAATTGCATTGAAATAAAGTAAAAAATTCTGGATGTCTCTTGGGTCGGTGCCTTGAGACGGAGAGTATAGGAGAGCAAAGGTTCAACTCCCAGTTATAAAAAAATTTGGTTATACTTTAAAATCAATTCATTGCTCCCCCTAGGTTTAAAGAAAACGTACTTAAATATAAGAAATTTCAACCAATTTGTTTGCCACTATAAAGGCCTTTTTTTTTTTTTTTACTTTTTTGTGTGTTTGGAGGATATTTGTGGGTTTCATACAAGTTCACACATACATATTTTTCAATGAGGTATGAATGATCAACTTCTCAATATATATGATGTAATATCTTTAAAAAAAAATGAAAAGAGAAATATTTGACTTTTACTCTATTGATCATCCAAAAAAATTTTCTAAAAATAACTAAATTTAAGGGGTTGTTCTTCCTAAGAAAGAATTATTCAATTTATTCTGAAAACGAATGATTATTCATGAGGTGAAATCGTCATTCACTAGAATCGAAGTCGGATCAAAAAGGTGACTTTGTTCTTGTTTCTAGTTAATAATTTTTTTTGGTTAAAATACTAGTTTGGTCCCATACTTTCAGTCTTTGTTCATTTTGGTCACCGTACTTTGAAAATGTTCATTTTGGTTACTGTACTTTAAACTTTGGTTCGTTTTAGTCCCCGTACTTTCAAAATGTACATTTTGGCCCATCTACTTTTAAAAAATGATCATTTTAGTCCCTTAATTGTATTCTTAATCTCATTTTTTATATCACAATTTCAACATGGCACTAAAATCAATATATTTATTCAAATGTAAACATTACTTTATACTAAAGAGTTGTCGTTGTACGTAAAATATGTGTTAAATTTTTATAAAGAGGGACTAAAATGATCACTTTTTGAAAGTATATGGACTAAAATGAACATTTTCAAAATACAGGGGGCTAAACTGAACCAAAGTTTAAAGTACATTGACCAAAATGAACACTTTGAAAGTACGTGGACCAAAATGAACCAAAGTTGAAAGTACAGGGATCAAACTAGTATTTTAACATAATTTTTTTTGATCTCGTTAGACACAAATTACCTATCGAATCACATCGTTTTGCACAATAAATTCCCTTTTTTGAAGATATCCGGAATCCAAATTGACTTATTAGAGGGGAAGGTTAAGCCAAGTATTAAATTATATCATTTACGATATTAATACCACATGTTGTTTCGTGTCCTTGACTTACTTTTAGAGATTTAAATTTACTAATCTGAAAGAAAATTGATAATGTTTGACTAATTGAGCTACAAATTAGCATTTTTTTCCAAAGTTAAGATGTAGAATATAGATGGTTGAATGGAGATTTAATTTGCTCCTCCATTCAAACCAATAGGAAGAAGTGGAATTAGACTCTTCTTTGGCCAACACCCTTTAACAATGGGTGTCTTCAAGTCAAAGTCAACAAAATTCATATAAACTCTTTAGAATATGTTTCTTTTCTAAATTAACATTTAAAATATACAAAAACAAATTTGTAATTTAACCTTATTAACAATTCCGAACAGTTGTAATGGAATTAATCAATCTGAACGATATTTTTGTAATATTATTGTTGATTTTGTTTTCCAGTCAAACTCAACAAGCTGATGTGGACAATTAGCAGAGGTGTTCACAAATGAATATGTACAAGGAACAAACATTCCGACACCCAAATTTGCGTGCTCAGAATCTTTAGGTTGTTCTCAGAGAGAATTTCCTACTTGGTTCATGGACGAAGTGTCCCTTTTATAGGTAAGCCGGAGAGATAAGACCGTTGGATTGTTACGACATACAATCACGGCTGTCGTACCCCCAAATCGGTGGTTGGAACTGAGGTCAGATAAAGTGTTAGCTTTCATCTAAGCTCGGTGTGGAGCAATTGGTCTCCTTGCTGTGACTGGATTGACCCAAACTGAGTATATGATCATTACACGTATCGATCCTGGTTTTCGACCACCAACAGTTATATTTATATTTTGCACAGACTTATCTTTTTAATTATGTCCAAGAAAATTAATATCATCCTTTCATACTCAAACCTTTTTTTCCACATATAAATTATTGTGAGAATTTCAATATTGATCTAGAAAAGTCTTTTCTGGGTGCTCCAGTCTTTTTCAAATTGGAATCCAATTATGAAATTGGAGAAAATATACTTTTATAAAAATGCTTTGTTGATTCTTTATTACCACTTTGACTTATCCAAAAATTAATTAGAGGCAACAAGTTTGCTTGCTTTTTCATACTGAGGGGATTTTCTTTGGTCTTCATAATTAAGATTGGATATGTTATTTAGTTCCTAATGTAAAATCATTTGAATTAATTCACTACTAATTAATCACCTTGAGTGTAATTTTGGGATGAGGACTTTTGCTCCCTCTAAAACCAATATTTCCAAAGTTTTCAAAAATATTCTTGACGGTGTAATTATATTAAATACTATACAAATTTTATAAAGTGTTATTATTTGGCTAAAACCGCATCTTTCGCCGTACCAAGTTTATTCCAAACTCGTCCATAATAAGTATCATTTTTCTTTCCTATGTAATATCTAATTTGTTTGTAAATCTCCTACATGATTTTTGTATTAGGTTCTATTCATTTGTTTCAAACTTTCTCTGTATTTATTCTAATTATTTAATAAATATTTTGAAGTAAATTGGATGAAGAAGAAAAATGTATTGCATAGTCATTTTTAGAAAAAAAAAATAAACATAATTATCAAATATATCTGATTTTTTAAAACACAAAATAATATATTAAAAAAACAGAAAAACCAAAATAATTATGAAAGAAAAATAATAAAGTTAAAGCTTATCTTTCGTTATAAATCTCACGTAATTAGCATATATCTTTCTACTCATCTCCTCTAAAAATTTGATAATTATTCACTCTGTTTTCTCTCTAGGCTGTAATTCTTTTAACGGTTAAATTTTATCTTATTTAATGATAATTTGAAACGCGGATAAGATATATAATTAAAATGAGAAAATGGAAAGGACCAAAATAACCTTTGACAAATCAAAGTCCACCACAGCATCGGGAGAGAGAAGTTTGAAAAATCCGAGTCGCATAAGTTGAAATTACGTAAACAACCTTTTTCTCTCATCACACCCACGCACAGCACGCGCAGCAGTTCCGTATAAATACCCTTCCGTCTTCTCCTCAGTCTCACAATTCTCCCTCCCATCGCTCTTCTTCTTCTTCACTTCACCAAATTCCCCCCTCAGAAAATTAAAAATGGGTGCTGCGGCGGCGAAAAGGTCGCTGCTGCTAGCGGCGGCTCTGATTATCGGAGTAATCGGGGGAGCGGCGGCGCAGAACTGCGGGTGCGCGGCGGGGCTGTGCTGCAGCAGGTTCGGATTCTGCGGGACCGGAGAAGATTTCTGCGGGAGCGGGTGCAGGGAGGGGCCTTGCAACATTCCGCCGCTGAGCCCTAGCGTGAACGACGTCGTCGTGGCTGATTTCGTGACGGAGGAGTTCTTCAACGGTATAATTAACCAGGCCGACGCGGGGTGCGCCGGACGGGGATTCTACAGCAGAGCAACTTTTCTTCAGGCTCTCCAATCGTTCGATAGATTTGGACGGATTGGATCTGTTGACGATTCTAAAAGAGAAATTGCCGCCTTCTTCGGCCACGTCACTCACGAGACCGGACGTAAGCTTCGTTTCATAAAAGTATTTTATTTTGTGTTTTTTGCTTTTCAGCTTCTTGAAAGTATGTACAAAATTTCTGAAAGTTTAGAAACTATAGAATAAATAAATAATTAACAAGAAACTAATTAAGAAACACTAAAATAATTTCCCTGCAAAGTTAATGAGCTAAAAGAATAGCATTTGAAAGTGAAGAAACAAATAATGGTTCATCAAAGATAAATTTGATTAAACTTAAAATGCCTTATTAAGTAATTTTATTATATTTTTTTTGTTGGAACATAGATTTTTGCTTCATAGAAGAAATAAATGGGCCATCGGGGGACTACTGTGACGAGGAAAATACCCAATACCCATGCAACCCGAGCAAGGGGTATTACGGGCGCGGCCCGATCCAGCTATCGTGGAACTTCAACTACGGTCCGGCCGGAGAGGCCATCGGGTTCGACGGTCTAAACAACCCGGAAATCGTCGCAACCGACCCGGTCGTCTCCTTCAAGACGGCGCTGTGGTACTGGATGAGCTTCGTCCGACCCGTTATCAACCAGGGCTTCGGAGCCACCATTCGGGCCATTAACGGCGCGCTCGAGTGCGACGGCGGTAACTCCGCCACCGTCCAACGCCGGATCCAATTCTACACTCAGTACTGTAACCAACTTGGAGTTGCCCCGGGAGATAATTTGACATGTTAGAATAATTAATTATTTTCAGCTTTGTATTGTTAAAGTAAAGAATAAACTTCTGGGAGTTGCAATTTTCTTTTTTCTTTTTTCATGCAATATAGATTCATATGAGATGTACTGATGTTTAATTTGAGTTTTGAAAGTTTTTCTTTAATTAATAAAGTTTAAATTCAAACCTATTTCATTGTGTAACTTTTGCTACAAATAATCGGGCAAAAGTGCCTAATTTTGAAATTTAAAGACAAATTCAATGGCGAAACTAAACTCAAAACTCACCCGAAAGTTCTTTTCTCTTTTATTTAATTTATTTTGTTTTTTTTCCTCCCTTGTAATAAATCAGCATACTTATATCTTTTCTCGTCTAGTTATGTGACAAAACTAATATAAGTGACACATGCAAAATAAGCCATAGTTTATATGTATATGGTATAATTTGTAAGGTAGAGAGTGTAGATAATTGTGATTTCTAATTACTCGTACGAAAACAAAGCCAACGATCAACCCAAATTTAGAAATACTATAAAATGAAGAAAAAATAATAGATACATATATGTGGGATAGAGAGCTCTTTATTCATTTGAGTATAATGCTGGGATGAATTATCGTTTGTCACGTGTTAACATTAGAAATCATTACACAGTTAGATGAAGGGAATAACTAGATCACGAGGACTTACTGTTAAAGAAGATTTCAAGTGGCTCGACCATTGTCTATCGAGCTGAGCTATATTCTCCATCTCGACCGACCTTCTCAAAGGACAAGCTGACCATGAAGAGAACCTGCAGGCGCGAGCACGAAACAAGATTTCAGACAAGATGCTGCAATTCTTGGACGGTCGAAGAGTCGTTGAAGCCCTGTTGGAAGCTCACATCTATAAATAAGATCCTCGCCTCTCACGCAAGCAAGGTAGACGAAACTATATTCTCCCTCAAGTATAGATCGCATAAGTACTAATTAGCGCGTCTGAGTGCTAACTTTGTTTTACATGTCCTTTTATTTGTCGGTATCATCAATCCAAGCTTCGCTAATAGACTTGATCAATTTCTCGGTCAAACATTATTATTCAACCTAAGTATAATTTAGCTAATTAAAGCATATATATGATCAATTAAAAGGTTACAGGTTCGAATTCACACTCCTACACATTGTTTAACCTTAAAAAATCTAGGTTAGAGTACTGTTTCAGTCCATGTACTTTCAAAATTTTCGTTTTGGTTCATATATTTTCAACTTTAGTTCATCTTAGTCCTTATAATTTTAAAATATTCGTTTTCATCAATGTATTTTTAAAAAGTGATAATTTTGATCGTCTATTACTTTTATTTTTAGTATCATTTTTCTATCACAGTTTGAACACGACGACACTACACTTAATATATTTCTTAAGATGTAATATTACTTTATACTAAAAAGTTTTCGTCATGCGTAGAGTTTGTGTTAAAACTTTACAAATAGAAATCACTAAAATAATCATTAAGTTCAGAGGCCAAAATAAGCCTTTTAAAAATTTAGGAATTAAAATGGACCAAAATTTAAAGTATTGAAGTCGAAAGGAACATTTTGAAAAGTGGAAAACTACATTATCTTAACAAAAAAATGTAACTAAACTAAATAAACTTTGGCCGATTTAAAAGATCATCTTGGACTCAGAATGTCTTAAACTATGTTCCACAAACAAAAAGAAAGGAAAGAAGATAAGTAAAAGTTTGAGAGGGAAGGGAACAAAGTGGGCAGCCTGATTTGACCCATTTTTCAGTTTGAAATGTTGAATTTAGTTAGTGGCCTGGTATTGTCTTATTGCATGGCTACTCTTTCTCAAGAGAGACGCTGCAAAATATTATCTCATTATTACACCAAATTTGACTCTTTTGGTTTCTCTCTTTCTTTTTTTTACCTTCTCTTCAATTAGCATATCCTTTTGCGAATCCCACCATTAAACAGTAATATAGCTGAAGTAAAAAAGGTTATTGTTGCAGTTGCAGTTGCAGAAAAATGGAGAAGCAATCTTCTTATTATGATCAGATTTCCCACACCCTTTCTCAAAAAATGGTATGCTACGACGACATATTCATAATTATATTGTTCTACCTGCATGAATCTCACTTCTCTTTCATTTAGATACACAATATATTGCACATTTATAGCCTATAAGGCTTTGTTTTTGGTATTAAATGAATTGGTGCAGTTGGAAGAAAAGGAAATGAATAACAAGGTAAGCTTTCTAAGATTTCAAGAACGATTGATCAAAGAAGATGTAGATTTGAAGGTGGATAAGTTAAATAAGCTGCAGTTATATTTGGATAAGCTCTCTTTTGCAAACACTGCCAATAGGGCCCAATCCTCACCCATTTCATGTTTGTCAGCTGATGAACTTGATAAGCAGGTAACACTATAATTACTATATTTCTGCGTTATGGGTTGAGTTTGTATAACTTTAAATTTATGACGTTAAAAGTTTGTTTATATAGATTTGAGAGCAAACTTACCAATCAAACACATGAGAATCTATAGACTCGAACTAAATTTAACCTTCCAAACTTTAAACTATATTTCAAAATTATAATAACTTAGAATCAAACCTATGAAATTTTCTTTTTTTCTTTGAGAAAGTATATGAAAGTATTGTTCATATGTAGATTTTATATACTGTCTGAAGTATGAATTCTACCTTGTTATATCATATTTGGTATTTGTCGGTCCTACAAATTATTTTAAAAGCCTTTGCAAAAAAAGTTGAAAAAGAAAAAGTTTGGTTAGAATACTTACTAATTATAGGAAGAACAATATATATATACACTCGACACACATGCTCCGATGGTCCCGACTTCTACCTCGTAGATTATATTTTGTGGGGCAAAAGTAATATTTACCTTCCAAAAATATTTTTGTTTACCTCGCTAAAAATTTGATATCGAGTTATTTTTTCTAACTTTTTTTTTCGTTCTTTATTTTTCTTTTCCCGCATTTCTCTCCTCTACTTCTAAAAAATATAACGATGATAAGTAGAGATTTCTATTAACCCACAAGACATAAGACGTTAGTAATATTTACTCTCCATATGCCAAATATCCTTTGTTCTAGATGGAGACTCTCACAAAAGTAAACTTAAAACACATCGTTATTATATTTATCTCTTCAACTTTTATTCTTGTGATGTTTTGGTCCCTGTAGTCACTTCCAACTAAACTTGCACTATTCTTACAGAGGTAAAAAATTATAATACAACCATTGGTAACCAAAATATGGATGAAATAATTAATTGGATACACAGAAATTGCAGTTCCTAATGCTACATAGAAGCCAAAATTTGGCCAATGAGAAGAGGCTATTAAGGGAGATCAAGAGGGAAGCTGGTGGAACAACACTTAATGAACTTGATGCTCCTGTACTTAAATCCATCCTTAATTTTTCTTTTTCTTGTGGGTTTCTGGATATATATGAATTAATTAATTTTCCTATTTGATTTTCTCGGAAACCAAACAGAACGAGAAGTTGCATGAGCAGATGAAGAACTCCCGTTTGTATTTATACAGAACAGATTTTGAAGAGATTCACAGAGAAATCAGAAGGCAAGGCTGTGGCCAATGCTGCAGTGGGGGGAGCCCTCTGGAGCTCTTTGGGATCAAAAAAACATATTCAACAACAAGTTAAAGTATAAAGAAATTAAATGGGAAAAATAATTAACTTTTTATTTTGTGAAAGAAAAAAAGAGAAGAAATCTTTGATTTAACAGCTAAATTATGATATTAAGTGCAGGTTATGAACGAGGAATTAGATGAGCTGAGGTCGAAGCAAGTTGAAGCTCGGAACGAAGTCAAGCTTCTCGAGAAAAAATTGAGGATTTTAGAAAAGCAAATAATGTTTTTGCATAAACAATTAAAGACTACTAATCATACATGGTGAATCAAATTAATATTCATCTGAGGTTATTAAATTTATCAATTTATTAAACGGAGTAGTTTTTTTTTTCTCCCAGTAAAGATAAAAAAAAACAATATTCCAATCTATTTGTAATTAATAAAGTAACGTCAAATATATATATATAGAAGTGTCTGTTTTTACGCATCTTTTTATTACTGTGATAAAATAATGTTTTTAGTTTACATTTACCTACTTTAGACTTTGTGGTATCATCTTTCAATTTTCATAGCTAAACCACACTAACATTGATTCTAAAAAATCTCAACAGTAATTTGTAACTCTTTTAGTACACTGAAATAGTAAGATTAAATTTAAATATCAAGCTTAGAAGTTTTTAGTAGTTTCTAAATTTTAAATTATTTTTAGTGGACTAATTCTAGATGAGTTTAGGCCAAAATGTTAAATTAAATAAAAGAATTTATGTATATAAAAATTAATTCAGCACAACTCTAAAGGTTGATGAATAATTAGTTTGAAATTATCTTTTTAAAGAAAACAAAGGCACCTACCACAAACATTTTTTCCTTTCTTTTGAGTTAAATAATTATGGAGGTTAGAAATTAAACCTTGTCTTAACGTGCTAGATGGATCCAAACTTGTAATTATAGCTAAAAATAATCATAATAACATAACATCTAATAATATGGTAAAAAATGACACAAAAGTTAGGAGAAGAAGGAAAAATTAGAGAGAAAGAAAAAAAGAGCAAAAAAGATTAACAGTTTTAATGAACCTCCCAAAAGCGAAGATGGACGCCATTAATAGCGCTGAAGAAAAATAGAAAATTAGAGGAACAAAATTATTGAAGGGGTGGGGGGTTCTAAATTTGAATTGATTAATTAACTAATTAAGAACATTTCAAGGATGGAAGAGAAAGACGGAGCTTTCTTCCGATTATAAGTACAATAATGGCGGCGGCAGATTTTGGTGCGCCGCTCTGCGACGTCGTTTTCTTGGCTCTTGCTCGTCTCCGTCTCGTCTTCATAGATGGTGTGCAGAGTAATTTGAATTTGGGCTCTCGAACCGCCGCCGTGGCGAGGCGGCGCAATCGCACAGAATCGGGTCAGCGCCGCCGGCGATGATCCGCCGGAAGTTTCTGGGCGTTTCGGGTTGGGTCTTACCGGCGTGGCCATTTCTGAATTTGGCTTTCTTTGCGATGAGTGTGAGCTTTTGGTTAACCCTTTTGGATTTATATAGACCCTCTGTC